CAGTGTGCAACTGGTCAACAAGCAGCAGGGGAAACTAAAGCAAACAAGAGGAACAATTCAGCAGTAGCTTCTGTTCTGGTTACAAAAGGATAGATTTCCTGTTCTCTGTCACAGAGGCATTCCCTTTGCATTAATCTCTGGGGATGACAAGCCTATGGAGGTGGGGTCTGAGGCTGAAGCAAGCAGTGGCCGGGTCAGAACTAAAAGTAGGTTGAACCTCCTTTTTTCTCTTTTTTTGACACTCTTTCTCTCTCCTGTTCTTTTTCTGTTCCTGAAATGCTCTTCTCTTTTCTCCCAAGTGGCCAGGAAACAAATCCAGAGCTATTACCAGAAATCTGAGTTAACCACCTTGTAGGTCCATTGCTGTTACAGACTGCTGTAGACTGCAGTGACATCATCTGGGGGGCAACCACTACAAAATAGCAACTACTAAAACCAAAAGAGTAATAGCAAGCAGCCAAGCTACTATTGGCACAAAGCAAAGGCCTGCATGAAGAACGGAATCTTGATCATTCGGCCAGATTACGCTGCTGGAAATGCCAGATGTGTCTCCAAAAGAAGGGCGTTCTGTTGTGCATTCCCAGGCTGCATTCATAATGCTGCAGCCTCCTTGCGGGTCTTAATGCTAGGCACCATCTGAGTTTAAGGACACAGCTTCTCTCAGACATGGGCCTTAGCATAGATTCGAAGGAAATTCCTTCAATCTTGCCTCTGCTGGAGACAGAAAAACATCTTGCAGACAGAACTCGGCTGCTGTAGGTGACAAGGGAAATACCATCTCCCCAACAACTCTGATAAATGGCTGGAATTCCCCCAAGATTTGAGGGTAGGCCCAGAGAAAAGAAACAAAGGACTTTTGTTTTGAAAGGATACTATTTAGGAAAGAATAGGTACCAAGTTTAGCCAGGATATTGGGTTAGAGTTTTGATCTTTATTTGTCAGGGTGGGTTAGTTAAGCATTATTGTCTGTTGTTCCTATCACTCTGAACGAGTAGGCCATTCTGCATAATTTCAGACTGTTTTCCAGAATATTTATTTTTGGGAAATGAAAATTAATTTGTAAGTAGAAATTTTGTTCTAGCCCACTAATTATAACAGATCAGCACTATCTTGTCTGCTGAGAACATGGCATGTATTTTTGCAAATCACATTTCATATAGTATAGCGTATGCTTCGTGTTCTCTTTTTTTAAAATATAGTTTTATTTTCTTTAAAGTTATGAGACTGATTTTTCTCCAAAAGCGTGGAAGGAAGAGCTAAAATTTCTAGCCACACACCTCTATGCTATAGGGCAGAAGGTTGCTATAGAAATTCATGGGAGGGGGATTGTGTACTCTCTCTCTCGTATATTGGCTTAGATGGAAGACATCAGGGTAGCACCCACTGAAAGATAGGTGGTGCCCAGCAGCTACATCTGAGGCTAAATTGGATCGACTCAGCAGAGGATACCTGAAATTCCAGCTTATGCTTGATGGGCCCACCATGCTGCTATAAGTTATTTACCAAAGATGCACAATTGGGCCTTTTTGGTCTCTCCATCTTTAGTTCTGAATGTGGTTGCCCTTCCCAGATAGAACCAGTGCATAATTTGAAAGTCTACCTGGACATTAAGCTCCTGCTCAAGAAGCTGGTAGCATCTGTAGTCATAAAGACCATTGCACAGATTTATCTTGTGGACCAACTGCACCGGGAGCCCTTTCTCATGGTCACTCATTACTTGGACACCTTGCAGGTGGACTAATGCAATGCACTCTATATGGGGCAGCCCTTGAAGATTACTTCAACTTTAGATGGTCCAGAATGCAGCAGCATGGTGAAACCCGTGACTCTCAGCGGATCGCAAGTGGCCGCAAAAAAACAGTTTCTGCTGCTGACTCCCAAAAAACAAAAAAAGCTGTCTGGAATGCAAGAGGGTAATTTCAGGTTCTCTCTTTTTATCCAGAGAGAATTATTGGCAGTCTGAATCCACAGCCAGCTGCCTTTTGACCACAATGTCTCCCAAGGAGCACAGGGCATCAGTTCGCTAGCCTCACCAGAAGTCTAGTCTCCGGGAAGTCAAGTCTCAGTGCTCTGAGCTGTTAATGTAGCCTTTTGAGGACTTAACGTTCATCTAAACCTCATCTTTTTAATCACCTTGGACATTATTTTTTTTTCTTACTGCTTCTTTAAGATAGAAAAACCTTTGGAACCACAAGTTGGGTATTTGCTGGGTGAGTGACTCTTCAATCCATTTAAAAAGAAAGAAACTTAAGTTTTTCCAGCTTTGTAAGATTTTTTTTTCTTTTTTGGCCATATATTACAAAAGGGGGACTATAATGTTGTCTTTGGAAAATGTTTGAGCGCTAAGGATTTGGAAGAAATTGATTTAAAGAAAGACTTTGAAGTTAAGTAAAAAGATCCTCTCATGTGGGAAAAAAAATCATGTTTATACTCTGCCCTGCTAACAAAGCTTTGAAGGTTAATTACTAGAGAGCACCAGATGGCTACTTTAAAGGAAACGTTTTATAAGCTGGCTCAAGAAATGCTTGGACTAACCCCATATTGGAACCAAAAGTTGCTATTGAAGAGAACCAAGTTCCTTGGAATATAAATGAAATGGATTTTAAGGCGGACTTAAAAAGTATAACCTATAAGAAAGAGATGGACATACTGGATTTACAAATGGAATTGGATGATCATTTAAAAATGTAAAAAGGTATACAAATGATGCATCAAAAGAAGGGTGTGGATTACCTCTTTAAATTGGAATATAAGAGACTTATAGGAGTGGCTATGTGGAAACTACCTATGAATTTAGATAAAGATGACAAAGATTTTGAGAGAAGGGACAAGGATAAGAGAAGAAAGCAGATGTTAGAATTTTATCTATGGGATTCAAGGATTGATGGGAGGAAGAAGAAAAAATATGAAACTGGTTTACTTAATGATGGTTAAGTAATGGGTTGTTATTTTTGGTGATGTTTAATGGTTACTTTGACTGGATAACT